TGTAATCACCACCAAGTATGGCACTATGTTTGTGCCTTTTAATGACTCCCTTAAATCCATCTGTTGTCCTCTTTTCCCTATTAACTCTAATGGGGGTCTAGGCAGGAATAAAACATATCCCATGTGTTGTGCTAACAGACCCTCTAATTTGTAACATTCATATGATTCCTTAGGATAAGACCTATGCAAGAATAATGACATTTAAAACATAACCCATGATAGGATTATAAACATTTAATGGCATATGTGTATAAATGCTTCCTAATTTATTTTTTTAGAGTGGCTTAACAAAATTTTATTTCTTGCTCACTTTATAATCTGATGTGTGTTGGGTAGGTAGCTCTTGGTATTTTTTTTAAGCTTATATTTGAGTGTTCATTCTATAATTTAGATTTTACAACAACCCTGTAAGTTTACCTCTGATTTATAACTGAGGAACCTGAGATTTGGAGAGAAGTTCATGATGGTAAGTGATGGGGGATCAGTTTTGGAGTTCACAGTTGGAACTCAGTAGTCTGACATTAACGTCAACCACAACTGAAGCGATTAATTTTTGCCATTACCAAGGAGACCTCTATGTCCTGTTGAGTTTGAAGAGGGTGTAAGATAAGAATATGGACTAAGGCTGGATCAGTTAATGAACATCAAAGGGTCGTCTTTTGGGTTAGGCTGGTGAGCTAATAGAGGAATTGAAGGAATACCTTTGGTCTTGTGACCAAGATTGGATTTACACACGAGATAGCAACAAATAAAATGTATGCAGTAGTGTTAAATTGAGTGATTTCAGAGGACAAGATGACATGCATCTTTTGTTACCAGTGGTCTTCTGCTTGCCTTTAAGTGCCCTGTGAGACTTAACAACTAAAGTGTTCCGAGTGTGGCTTGGAGTGTATGGAGAAAAGGGGCGTGGCTCTGGTTCCCCTTCTCTGGGCTCCCCAGCACTGATTCTGTATTCTGTCCACAGTTTGACTCGACACTGAACCGTGCCTGGTCCCATTGAGCCAGGATCCTAGCATGTGAGTTTCCTGCACTGAGGATTTATTCAGGAAATAAAGAAACCTGTTCCTGCTTTCCCTCTTCCCTCCCACTGGCAGACCCTCTCCCACTCACGGTTGCTGTGACTTTGATGCTGGGATGATGGTTCCTCATGATTTTTCTTTGTTCCCATTCCCCCAGCTCCCTGCGTCCCTGCCCAGGACCCTTGGTGTGTCCCCACCATCCCCGAGACCCTGGGGGACTCCTAACCTGGGCCTTAGGAGCTGCCGTTTTAAGGAGTGGAAGGAATGTGCTCCTGGCTAGTTTGCCATGTTAGAATGCAGAACACGTATTTTTTTTTTTTTTTTTTGCTAAGAATCATTAAAAGCACTATTATAAAATATCATTTATAGAAATAACAGAGAAATATTCAATACAGCTTCATATACCTACCAGCCAGCTTTATCAAAACTTAATATTTGTTACAGTCTTCAGATACATTTTAAAGATTTAGCACTAAATTTATTAAAGCCACAAGTCAAAAGCTTAATTGTTCACTTAAACTTTTATGTTTAATTATAATAGCAGACCCTGTCATTCCTCACAGGTAGTCTTTAACAAAATAAAGTATTACAAATCCAGCACAGCACCCCCCCCCCACCATTTTCTCTGCCAGAGATTACTACAATTAGGAATTTGCTGTTTATCACTTCCAAGAAGAAATATTAATTATCTTAGTGTTATTTAGTGTTTTTATTTCTTTTGTGGCCCAGCCTAGGAAGCTAATTACCATGTTTTATTCTGTTGCTGTGGCAATGGTAGAGGATGCAGGTCTTATGATAACATGAATGGTGATGGTTGGTTGGCTGCTTTCCATGTCCTAGATGGAGAGATTTAAGTGCCAGATTTAATCCTATCTGCTATCTTGTAAGGTACTATCCCCATCTTAGAGATGGGAATATTGAGGCTTGGATGAGTCAGAACTGGATTGCAAATCCATGTTTGTCTGATTCCAAGCCTGTATGATTTGAATCACTCTGTTCCCTTCTTTCTGGATTTTTCTCTTTCTGTATATAATATATATTCTTATATAGAGAGCCATACTATCTTAACTTGTAACTTTTTTCTTTAAGCATGTATGTTGAATATTTTCCTGTGGTATATGGGGCTTTGGAGCCAGAGTCCTGGTTTTGCCCACTTATTTAGCGATGTGCCCTTGCCTAGTTATGTAACCTCGCTGGGTTTAAAGTGGAGATGATAATATCTACCCCAGTGGGTGGTTAGGATGCTGCAGTGCCTGGCATATAATAAGGCCTCAATGTATTTTAGCCATCATGTTATACTTACAAATGGAATTGGAGAAAGTGATCTATTCAGTGGTATTCTTCCTATTTATATTTGATCAAGTATTGTTCAAATAACATAGCTTAATTGCATTTCAGTTAGCATACATTTATTGAGCATTTACTAAGTGCCAGGCCCTATGCAAGGTACTAGAGTTACAGAAATAAACTTATTTTCTCACATTATGAGATTATAAGGGAGACTGTCTAATAATTATTTTCTACTAAAGGAAAAAAGGACTGACTTACAGAATTTTTTAGTGGACAACAATACTTGGCCTTTACATTTTTCCATTATTAAATTCTCCAAGTGTTTTCATATCTACCCTTATTTTCTTTAAAATGAAGCACCTGGGGTAGAACAGCAGGCCAGAGTAGATTCTCTCTATCACATAAGCCTTGACTCATGTAGTTTGTACGTCTCCAATTATGCTTGTTTCCAAAACATGAACAAGGAAAACACAAAACATAAAATATAGGAAAAGAGATAGGAGGGAGGAAAAAAAATCTATGGATCCAGATTACTGGAGGTTGGTATATTTTTAACAAGTATAATGTCCTTCAAATAGAGTTATTTCTATGTTAAAGAAACCATTTATTCATGTAATACTAATGCTGCAATCCTAAATGCTGTCTGCAGTATTCCTGCCCTTCCTCATTACTCTCCTGCATTTGGGCCTAAAAGAGGTCCGTTTCTCAAAGCCTCTCTTATTTCACCTTTTAGTTTGCATTTCAGAACCAGGCAAGGAAAAAATTAAAACTCCAGACTTTAAAGGTAACATTCCTTGTACAAAAATATGTCTGAATGTTTTTGAGATGGTGATCAGACTGCAGAGGGTAATTACATTTGAATTTTCAGTGGTGGTATTTGTTTCAGTTAATTGACATCTGCTGTATTTATTTGCTTGGAAAAGGTCATAATCTATTATGTGGGTTTGGCTGAGAGCGGCAGGTGACAAAAATCCAGCATAATTCTGTTTTTTGCAAGAAAATATGTAGAAAGAAACTCTGGAGGAAAATCAGTAAAATATTTGATAGTGGTTTTCTCTGGTTTGATCATAGGTGGTTTTGGTTTGTTTGTATATATTTGCATTTTCTTCTTATATATGAAAAGAAACTCGTCCCAAGTAAAAAAGAAACTATTTAATTGCACTGCTGTTACGGCTAAATAGCTAACATTTACTGAGTGCTTTATTTATAAAATTCTCTAATACCCTCAGTAACTCTACACAGTCGATTCTGTCCATTCTATTTTAGAGACGGAAAAACGAAGGCCAAGAGAGGTTGACTACCTTCTCCCAATGTCATTCCGCCACAGGGCACGATCTCAAAACCAGATCTAGCTTTTCTTCAGAGTCTATGCTTTCACTACACAATAAGAGGGTGAAAAGAGCACTTTTGGCAGAATAAGAAGCCATTTTTTCCTCTGCAACTAAAGCAATGGACCTCTTAATATGGACAATTGAGGGGAGATGCGGCCAGCTCTTGTGCTTTGGTAGTTAGCATGCACAGTCATGGTAAACTAGTTAACGTACTGTAGTAGTTATTAACCAGTGTGATGTGCTTGGGAGGTGCATGCCTGAGGGTAGAACAAGGAACAGATGTTAGCTCTGCTGCAGGGCCACCAGCTACACACGCTATAATTCCTTATTATTCTGGAGAGGAATAAGCTGGAGTTCCTCGCCACCACGGCCCTCGAATGATTCTATGAGTTGCCGGCTATCTTTTCATTGTCTCTATATGTTTTCTGGGAAGGAAATGCCCACGTATTCTTCCTCCATTTAATAAATATTTATTGAGCACCTATTATGGCCCGTCATTGTGCTAGTATTGGGGCAAAGCAGATAAAAATCAAACATGTCTCTGCTTTTAGGGACCTTCATTACTCTGTGACTATTCATGTCCATCCGAACTTTCCTGAAGTCAAAAAGCCTCATTTCTTGTGTGTCGATACTAGTCAAGTCCATGTACCAAGGAAGTAATAGTGTGAATTGGTTCAGCTGTTTGCCTTTTAAAAGCATAAACGTATATATTAGAGTTCAAGGTTGATGGAAATTGCTCAGTGAACCTAGATTGACATTGATGTCCTGATTTATGCAAATGGATAGGATTATGTATCCCGCAGACACGGTTGGATGGTCACCTGCACTTCAGAGAGAGAAGCAGGGGGGAGGGGAGGAGAAGAGGCTCCAGCCCCATTTCTCCTTGAAAGAACTCCACTTCCTTTTGTTGGTCATAGTCTCCACTTTGTAGGTTCTTTTCTAATTGGTTCCTAGATCACTTTCAATGTTAAGATTTTTTTTTTTCCCAAAACGTTGACAAACACGTTTACTTCTGTGATGCTGAGAATGCTTTGTGTATGTGTGTATATATATATCTTCAACACATTCCCATGGAACAGACAGGCAGAAAAAAACACTTCATCCTATCCTGATGAAGCTCTGCCTACTGCAGGGGATGAAGAGGTTTACCTGGGTTAACGTGAGAAGTTGGGGTCAGAACCTGCCACTGAGCTGCCTGGCTTAATTAGAACAGTTGCTCTCTGGTTGCCATTAATAAATGTTATTGCCAAGTATGGCAGAAAAAAAAATACAGAAGAAAGGGATAGCAAGGAAGACCCTCCAGCCCCCCTTGCTGTGGGACTGCCTGCCCCTTACATTGTCTTCTCTTTAACCCCAACAGGGAGGTACCTCCTTCCGAACCCGGCGGCGGGACAGGCCTGGCCAGCCTCGGCGGAGACGTCCAACCTCGTGCGCATGCGCAGCCAGGCCCTGGGCCAGTCGGCGCCCTTGCTCACGGCCAGCCTGGTGAGTGTCACCCGCGCGGGTGGGGGTTGCGCTGGCTCGCTGCCTCCCTGGGAACCATTTAAGTTTATGGAGTTTAACTAGATTTAAACTTACCCACATATACACAACGTTAGGCACAGATTTGGCAGTATGAAATTTCTTGCTTTCAGTGTGATAATTACCACCTCCTCACTCCCACCTGAAATTTGGAACAGTTCTCTTAATTGGACCCCATCTCTACCCTTCATCCAAAAGAAATGAAAATGTTTCTAGGTTTTTTTTTTTTTTTTTAACTTTTTATTTGGAAAGAATGTCAAACTTACAGAAAAGTTGCAAGAATAAGAAAAATATAGCTGGGTGTGGTGGCTCACACCTGTAATCCCAGCAGTGTGGCAGGCAGGAGGATCACTGGAGGCCAGGAGTTCCAGACCAGCCTGAGCCACTTAGTAAGACCCCCATCGCCACAAAAAAATACAAAAAAAAAAAAAAAAATTTGCAGGGCATAATGAGGTGAGCCTGAAGTCTCAGCTACTTGAGAGGCTGAGGCAGGAGGATCACTTGAGCCCAGGAGGTCGAGATTGCAATGAGCTATGATTGGGCCACTGCATTCGAGTCTGCGTGACAGAGCGAGACTGCTTCTCTTAAAAAAATAAAAAATTAGAACACCAGTTTATTCTTTATCTAGATTCGACTAATTAACATCTTGTCCAATTTGTTTTCTCTATGTATGTAAATATGTGTCTATATATGTACACACGTATGTATAATTATTTGAACTATTTGAGAATAAATTATACCATAGCCCTTTGTTGTCACAATTATCAACGTGAGTACATTTATGACTGCTACAATCCTTTACTCAGCCATCTGTATTTCAGTTTTATCAATTGATTCATTAATGTTCTTCATAGCATTTTTTCCTGCTCCATTGTGGGATCCAGTCTGGGATCATTCATTGCATTTAATGGTCCATCCCTTTAGTCCCCTTTAATCTGGAATGTTTCTACAGCCTTTCTTTATCTTTTATGACATTGATGCTTTGGAAGAATTTTTTTTTGATGGATTATTTTTTAAGAGAGTATTTGTCATGTTTGTCTGCTCTTTTCCCGTGGTGACAGTTGGGTTTTGCATACCAGGCCAGAGCACAGCACTGGTGATGTCCTGTCCTCTCAGGCCATAAGATCTGCAGGTTCATGATGTCTATCTGCCGCTCACTATGACATTAACTTTAATCACCTAGTCGAGGTGTTGTCTGATTCCTCCACTGCAGTTAAGACTTTCTCTCTTGCAATCCATAAGTAATCTGGGGAGATACTTTAAGGCCATGCTCATATGCTTTCCATCAAAATTTTCCCCTAGATTTAGCATCCATTGGCGATTCCTGCCTGGGCTGACCATTCTTTTCTATGGTGATTGAAAACAGTGATTTTTTTTTCTAACTCCAGCACTTTCCACATTTACCACTTGGCACACATCATAAATATTTGTGTATTTGTTAGCAGCATGGACTTGCACATTCGTATTTTTCCCCAGTGTAGACTTTTAGTTTTAACAAGATGCTTAATAGAATTTTTTTTTTTCTAGTTGGCCCCTTCTTTGCTTTAATCTTTGGCTCAACTGGCAAGTCTGTACATGTTACTTTCGAATTGGTGGTAGGGTTGTATGGTCTGGAAATAGATTTTCAACATCTTTTATTGATGAGGGTGCAAATAATATATAAATCAGTGTGTGTGGTATCTTATAATTTTCATGCATTGGTGATAAATTCTGTTGGATATTTGGGAATCATACAATAATGAAAAGAGATTTGATTTAGGTTTAGCTTCTAGCCTTGCTTTTGCCATTGAACAGCTATATAAACTTGGGCAAGTCACTTAGTTTCTCAAATTCTGTCACCTCACCTGCACCTACAAGAGGAAAAGAGGCACTATGTAGACTTCATAGACTTTATACAGTCTATGAAGTCCCTTGCAATTCTAGAATTCCCTGATTCTTTTTTCAGAATAATTAAGATGCTGAATTTATAGAATAAGTATCTTTTAAAGAAGTTTCTTTTGGGATATTTTGTGACTTCAAAATTGACTATAATTTTTAAGCCAAAATTCATCTTTTTTTCCTCTTATGAAAATGTTGGAACTTATTTTTTAAAGATACAGTTAAAGAGATGGTAGAGAATATTTTCCTCCATCCCATCCCCAAGTCCAAAGTGACTTTTTCTCTTGGGGGATTTTACTAAAAGCTTATTTTACTCTGATCATTTGTTTTTTAAGGAAAGAGAAAAATACCTCACAACTTACTTTTTTTTTTTTTTTGACAGAAGTGCTTTTTTAGCCAGTGCAATATTATTCTTCACATTTAAATAGAAATCCTGTATGTTTATTACCAAATAAATCATTCTGATTAAAACAACACTGCCACAAAGTAATACCTCTTGTTACTTAATACTGGTAGTCACATACTCAGAGAAACTGACTTATTCAAAGATGAAAAGCCCATGTCACGTAACCTAAGATATTTGGGAATAGGATACGAGAATTATTAATAGAAAACATGAGAAGACTACCTCCTAAAATATGTCAGCTGACATTCTTATTAATTACTTAATAGCTTATCTACCTGTAAGTTTTTATGTTTATTGTGTTTGCTTAAGATCAAAACTGGGGAAAATGCTGAAATACCATGTAGAGCAAACTTAAAACAGTACCTGGCATATAACAAGTCTCAAATGTTAGTAATGTTAATAATTCTGTTGTTGTTATTACAAGGTGAATATGTTTGGGCACAGAAGCCAGAATGTGATTAGCCGTTTACTACTAGGTAGTGAAGGTTTAAAATTTAACCATCATTCTATCTTTCCCTGTAGAGGTTTCATTAGTTCCTAACTGTGGTGTGTGGAAAACTATCTGTCCCCCACCTTCTGCTGTTTTAAGAGCAGTAGAGGAGAGCTGCCTGGCAGAGCTCCGGCTTGATTTCCTTATTGTTGTGCTGTGATGTGTCCACATTCCTCTTGTGTATCACTTATTTCTATATGTCACTCAAGTAAATGTTAATGACTTTTCCTGCTTGTGGTACCCTTTGTAGAATCACATAGCTAACAGGGCACATTAAAGTTTATCAGTTTTATGTTTCTACCAAATTTGGATTGGATTATATCTAAATTATCATTGCCAATTACAATTAACAGATATGATAGAGAACAGTGCTGAGGAGGTGTATACCTCTTAGAACTCTTTTTCTTTTTCCTTCTTTCTCTCTCTTTTCCTTTTCTTCCAAACAAGTTGATGTTGGTGGAGGTGCATTGTGCAGTGGAACATTCCTCACTCTGATTGATTCTCTCCTCCTGGCCACTCTCCCCACACCATTACCCCTGTCTTAGAGCTGTAAGTCATCCTTCCCCTCAGCCTCCCCTTAACATTTATCATGGTACTCCTTTGTTTTTGTTCTTTGTGTTTATGCCTAGTGTCTCCCTGCTAGACTGCAAGCTCCTTGAGGGTAGAATTCTTGCCTGATTTGACTTTCTACTTCTCACTGCTTTTAGCACAATGCCTTGCACGTGGGCGGCATTCAATAAATAATGTTGAAAGAACGAATAAACATCATGGAAAAGTGACAGATTCCTTTAGTTGCAAGGTGAGAGTGATGGTGTGATTCTGCATGCTATAATGGGTGCTCTAATAAGGCCATCCATCTAAAGTCTCTATGGTTTTGCTGTTCAGAGTGCATCTTACAGTTCTGGTTAGCTTTAAACTCCATATGGGCCAAATCCCATTAAGTTCCACATCAAATGCTCATAAAGTATGGTGACAAAATGGTGAAGAGATTATAAGTGTCCACATTCAAAGCAATTTCATTTGTGTGCTTTTAAACAGTCATGTAGTCACATTGGTTTCAATATTTTGTTGATTCATTGAATGACTAAGTTGAAGTGATACGTGTGTTCAAGTGTGGTGGAATTAGAAAAATAAGGAATCAAAGTGGTTTATGTCCAAATGACAGTATTGGACTCAAGGTAGCAAGTCCATGTTTAATCTCAGCAGCATACATTTCAGGAAAGTATAGGCCCTCAAACCTGAGAGGTATTAATATGTTAGTAAGATATAAATGAAGGCCCTGAGGTTTGGTAGGGATGAATTTTAGTAAATGCATGACCTATGGTGATTTAAATGCCATAGGCAAGCTTGAAGGTAATGCTAACTACCTTCTCAAGGAGGAGATTAATTCCTAGCCTGAAGTATCTAGTTTTCCTTGGCAATGCTAAATGTAGTTGTGTTCCCTCTCCCAGACACATTGGGCATTTCAGATAAATGGCATGTTGCCAATTCATCCTAAGTAGCTTGGTAGCCGGCAGAATACATGCTCAGCCGGTGTCCGCCTGCTGGGACACCAGCCGGGAGTGCTGATGAAGTGTCAGATGTATACTTCATATACATTAATCTGAAGAGGGGAAAACTCATTTTCCCATTTGCTTCCTCCATCTTTCCGTCCCTCCCCACACACATGGGTAGTTTATCAAAGAAGTCATAGTCGTCAAAAGCAGAGGGATTTATACAGATGCTGCTTTCTGGCAAGAAAGATGGAAATTTCAGGAGGCAAAAGCAGGCCCAGTGGTAACTTATTTCTTTGTAGGAAAATAAGGCAGTAAGCCTTGATGACTGAAGTTTAGAAATGGTATATGTGGCCATATCATAAAAAATATTCACTACTTTTTTACTTTGGAGTAATAGATGGACAGCAGAAGCACCATGAAAATTAGTTTCCAGTATTTCTCTCCAATTTTCTGTTAGATTTCGATCATGTCCCTCATCTGTTTTGTTTATGCAAAGGCCTCGTTCACATTCTTCCTCACCGTTCACATTCTTGCTCACCTCCTTGCCCATCCTGTTTCAAACTGTTCACTATTTGCCACACATCTCACTTCTTTCATTTTTCTCCATAGCTTTGTCACCACATTGTCTATTTTGTTATATGTCTCTCACTACTCTAATGTATGTTTCATGAAGGTGGAGATAATTCTATTTTCC